AACGAGCACCCTATTTCACCTTTTGTCCTTTTCTTTTATTTTTTTAATTTATTTTTTAACGTGTTCTCTCTCTTTTTGTCGGTCAGTGCACGCACTCACGAGACTCGATGTGAGAGAGTGTAAACACATACCGCGTGGACCTTTTCCAATCTGCTAAATCACCCCCACCACCCCCTACCCCTACCCCTAACCACCACCCTTTGACAATTTTAAAAAGTCAACCCCCCCAAAACCACCACAAAAAACAAAGCAGTTTTTTCCATTGTGTGAATCATTGTGGGAGAAAATAAGATAAGGACAAAAGATAAAGCCCTTTGAATATCTTGATTAAATTAATACTATGTCTATTATGCTAACCAACAAACCTTAAAATCCTTATCTATTTTTTCTTTTTCCCTTTTCAGAATCTTACTCAAACCAAGTCTTAGCACTTTAATTAAACAATTTGTTAAGTTGCTGACATGTTAGCTAGCAAATGCTTTGCTTATCCAATGCTAAAGAGGGAATACAATTTTATGGCTTGGATATGAAAAGGTTATGAAAGAGAAATTAAAGAGGTAAACAGCACCTATGCAACACCATTTTTATTTTCTTCCACAAAATTCTTTCCCACTATGTTTTTTTCCCCACAGTAACATAAAAGTAAAAAAGGTTCAACCAGGTAATATTATTATTGAAATTAGAACTCGTGACATGCTATAAACTGTAGTTAGTAAACCATGAAGCGACAATTTCCAAACATAGTACAAACTCGTGAGATAAAAGATATCTATTAAATTTTACCATTATTTTGACTAGATATTTCATTGATTAGACTTACAAGAATATGTGTCTCAAACTAATACACCTATTTTGAAATTGTAATTAGCACATAGATCTTACTTTGACAACTTATAGCTTGAAATATGAGGACGACGACAACAATAACGGATTCAGTGCAATCTCACAAGTGGGGTCTGTGGAGGTAGTATGTACGCAGACCTTATTCCTACCTCTAAAAAGACAGAAAAGACTATTTTCGGAAGACCCTCGACTTAGAAAGATAAAAGGAAGAGTAGCAGCAAGCACACCAATTAAAAATCCGAAGCAAAAATACAAAGATATAAAATTAAAACTGAGTACTGCAATCAGAAGACCGGAACGAAAGCAACAACAAGTAATCACAGAAGTCAAAGAATACGAAGATACATAAATAACACTAACTCATGTACTAAAGCTACTCTCGCAGACAAGGACAACGCTAGGCGATCTATCCTAACCTTTTACCTTTATTCTCAACCTCCACACCTTCGTATCCATGGTCATGTCTTCAGTGAGCTGGAGCAACGTCATATCTTGCATAATCACCTCTCTCCAATATTTCTTTGGCCCACCTCTACCTCTCCTTAGGCCCTCCAGGGCCAGTGTCTCACACCTCCTCACCGGTGCATATGTGCCTCTCCTCTTCACATGCATGACCATCTAAGTCTTGGCCCCGCATCTTATCCTCCACAGGGGCCACGCCCCACCTTGTCCCGAATAACTTTATTTCTATAATTCTATCTAGGCTGGTATGCCTGCACATTCATCTCAACATTCTCATTTCAACTACCTTCATCTTTTGGACATGAGAGTTCTCGACTGGCCAACACTCCGCCCCATATAAAATAGTCGATCTGACCACAGAACTTTAAATTTAGGTGGCACATAGCTTAAAATATGAGGACAAAGCAAGTAATATGGGTAAAAGGAAAGAGCTAGACGTTAGATAGAAATCAGAATGAAAATGGTGTTGTCCCCCACCTTCTCTCTCTAGACTAGTAGTAATGTAATGAAAACCAGCCAAATCACAAATACACACACTCTCTTTCTATAAATGAAAAATGTATTCCACTCATTTACACCTCTCCTCAGATCCCTTTCCCAATCTCTCTCTCTCTAGCCAAAGTCAGCGCCTTCTTTTGTCTTCTTTTTCTCTCCACTTCCTCTCTCTAACCAAAAGTCAAGGCCATAGCAAAAGGAGAAAGATATGGAGGATGATTGGGATCTACATGCGGTGGTCAGAGGCTGCGCCGCTAGTTCTACCGCCGCAACCACCACAACTACCACCAGCAGCGCCGCCACTACTACTACTACTACTTTTTGCAGCTTCCAACCAAGACAAGGTGGAAACTTTTTTAGCTTTCAAGATCCCTTTGTGCCAAGATTTGACAACCCTAACAATACTGCTTTTGAAGAGTTGCATAATCTTTACAAACCTTTCTTCCCCAAATCTCAACCACAACACCAGCCACCTCTTTCTCCTCAAAATATACCTATTTCACCCCTCTCTGTTCTTGGAGGACTACAAGATCTATCACCCCAACAAACACTAATAAAACAGCAGCAACAACAACATATTCATCAGCTAAACACAAGAGTTTTAACACAACCCAAGCAGTCTCTGTCTGTAAATGGTTCCACAAATAGTCTAACTAGTGTTTCACATACTCAAAGCCCAAGACCTAAAAGAAGGTAACTTTGACTATTTTTTTGAACTTTTCTTTTCATTCTTTTAATTCTATGAGAAAAAAATTGAAGTTTCTGGATGGAAAGATTAGACCTTTATCAGTTTGTACATACCCATATCATAAATTCATCTTTTTTTTTTCCCCCTCACATTTATATGTATTTTCTTTTTCTTTTATCAGGAAAAACCAATTGAAGAAGGTATGTCAAGTACCAGCTGAGGGTTTATCTTCTGACATGTGGTCTTGGAGAAAATATGGACAAAAACCTATCAAAGGCTCCCCATACCCAAGGTAGGTTCCTTAATCTCTCTTTTATTTTAGGCTAATTAAAACACAAATACAAAGTCCTTTTTCAACAACTTAATTTTTTATTCTTAATTTTGTGACTAACTTTGGTTCATTTCTCTGGTTTAAACAGGGGATATTACAGGTGTAGCACCTCAAAGGGTTGTTTAGCCCGGAAACAAGTGGAGCGAAATAGATCCGACCCGAATATGTTCATTGTCACCTATACATCAGAGCACAACCACCCTATGCCAACTCACCGGAACTCTCTCGCCGGAAGTACCCGACAGAAGCCGGTGAACTCCGAAGCTGGCACACCAAGTGACTCAAACAAACCAACTAGCTCATCGCCGGTGTCTTCGCCGGCGTGCAATTCTCCGGCAACGGAGAAGCAAGAAAGCAGCAGGGAAGAGAAAGAGGACATTTTTGAAGACGATGACGATGAATTTGGCAGTTCTAATATTGGATTAGATAACATGGAACCTGCAGATGATGACTTTTTTGAGGGCTTAGAAGAACTCGCCGCTAATGCCACCGGAGATTGTTTCCCCGATAACTTTCCGGGGTCTGTGCAATTTCCTTGGCTGACAAATAATGCCACAACTACCGCAGCAGGCGGTGTTTGACTTGCCGGAAAAAGTAGAAATGAGAAAAGTTGAAGAAATGATGCTTTTCTTCTTATTCACTTTTCGTTTTTCACTTGTAGTTGTAGGAGTATCTTTTTGTCCGTTAGAGATATAGGGAGACAGACAGCAATAGAGAATCTTGAAATCTCCATGTCTTTTTTTAATTTTTTTTAGTTATGTTTCTCTTTTTGTACGTGTAAGGTATAATTCCATTCCCCCATCATTGTAGAGAGACTTGTAGAGGACAAAGGAAAAAAGAGGAGTTTGATTCCAATGTTCTTTGTTAGGATAATAGGAGTATATTGGATGATAAGGTAAATAGAATTTGTGTAAAAATCCCTTAGCTGTTAAATGTTATAGTAATCATTATCAATGATGTGAGTTTTCTCAATTGTTAAACTTTTCATACATTTTGTGGTGGTTGTTCATGTTAGTGTGCTTGAGTGTTTGTGCTACTAATTATGTTTGGAGATTTTGAGTCCTACCAAATGGAATCTTGGGAAATTTGTTTGCCAATTTATCCCCAACAGCCATAAATTTTGCTTTTCGACTGAATTAGACAACTCTAAATACCGGGTAGCATTCTAACTATTGGAAATTGAAAGTTCAAACTTCAACGTTTAATTTTCAACATTTTTAAACCTAAAGATCGCCGTGAAAGAGTAAAATTCACCGGTAGAAAGGAACTCCTCCAATCACCTTTTGCTCCTTAAGACAAGGAACTTCATTCTAAGATGCCCTGTTTATGCTCTGATTAGCCAGCTCCTTAATTAATGAGGACATGTTTGATGTGCCCAAAACATTTACAAAGAGCCAGAAAAGCATATTTCTCCCTAGGAAAGAACCAAAAAAAAAAAAGACTGTTGTAGCAAATAGGAAAAAGAAAAAAAAACTTACAGGCCAAGCATGAACACTGCATTCAAGGACAAAGCACCATATATCATAAAAAGGGTAATCTCATTCCGCTTATTGTGAAAATACAAGACACTCAAAATATTCATATTCACCTCTTCAACCTTGAAGAGCAAAAGAATGACATGGTGTACATCGAGAAGACAGGAAATAGAAAGATTTAGGGATTGAACCTCGGCCATTGAGTAGATCCAGGTAAGAAATTTGAGTATGTTTTTCAAGTACTAGGTTTTAAGGCTTTTTCACCGTAGAGAATGATGATCAAACTTGAATGCTATCTGTGGAAGAGGAACATTAGGCATTAGAAAGAGTGACCAAAGACGATGAATAGTTATGATGCTTTTAGGAATTCCAGAATCAAAGCAATAGGACAGAAGCCCACCAGCTTCAGCAAACACTGGCACTTCATTATTGGTTTTAAGAATTTTCTAAAGTTTGCCAAGAAAGCTCTTTAAAATGCTTTATCAAGAAATAAAGAACCTTAATTAATCACCCAAGTACATCTCATATTTTTGAAAGAGAAAAAGTTAGTAGCAAGAACACTATGCTCTTCTTTCCTTTAAATGAAGGATCATAAAAGTGTTGGTGCTTACATCACACACTCAAATTTACGAAATGTTCAAAGGAACTCACTACTTATTTGATTCTCTATCGTATACATAAAAAGGAAAGAGGAATAGCATTGAGATACGTCCAAAGCCAAAATATTAAGCTCAGAACAAAGTTGACACAGTATAAGCATACAGGAACTTCATCTTGCATTAAACCAACTACAACTTGGATGAAATGTGAAAATACAAAAATTCTTGGCGTAGCACGCCCACCAAACTTGTAACATCATTTTGTCATGTTGGAATGATTTTCAGTTCATCAGAAGGGCAAGATGGATGGAAATGTCTTCATAGAACATGATTTGTGTACCTACTGAACAACTTATGCATCAAAGCAGGTATCTCAAATGACAGCACAGAGCTTAAAGATCAAATGGGACCTCGCACATTCCACTTGATCTTAGCCGAAAGGCTGAGAAAGGTATCCAAATGGGACCTCAACTGACTGCAAAAGAATCTCCACCATACCCAGTGAATATCACAGCGGAACTAGGAAGGATATCCTCCACTCCAGTTAGTATTAGGCAGTTGAAGTAGAAACCTCATATCCTTCCAGAAAGCTTCGCAATTTTTCTGTTTCACCAATGGCAGGAGGCCATTGGGTTAGGACTTCCATGGTAATGTAGTCAGGATTACATGCATTTTCAGTCATTTGGTCCATTATTTCAAATGCCTTTTCCACCAAATTCCTCTCCTGAAGGCCTTTAAAGATGGCATTGTATGTGATGGTATTTGGTCTTACCCCTTTGTCCTTCATATCACCCAACAAAGAAATACCAGCTTCTACTTTGTCACTTTTGCAGAGAGTGTCGATCAAAGTATTGTATATGACAGTGTTTGGTGGCACATTTGTAGAAGAACTCATATTCTGGAATATTTTCATAGCTTCATCAACATCCAGATAAACAATATGCATGAATTAGTGCTCCATATGTAACAACATTAGGCAAATAACCATCATCAATCATCCTCTTCATAACTCTATGGGCAGTTGCAAATTGCTCCTTCTGGCTGAAATATGATATCAAAGTGTTGTACGTGTAGCGATCAGGTTTGATACCTGCCTCCTCCATGTCTCTAAGCATATTATGAGCTTCATCAATCTTATTTTTCCTGCAAAATCCCCCAATCAGAGCATTATAGCAGATAATGTCCAACCCAAACCCAGCTTCTTTCACCTTTGAAGCGACACAGGAAGCATCATTCGTTCTTCGAGCCTGGCAAAGGCCCAAAATCAAACTGTAGTACACTTTGGCATCAGGGAAGCACCCATTTTCTGACATTTCATTAAATAACTTCATTGCTTTGTCAATATTGTTGACACTACAAAAGGAAGTAATGAGGATGGTGTAAGTGATCGCATTCCCCTTTACACCTTTCCCTTGCATCTCAGCAAAAAGCTCTATACCACTGTTAACTCTCCCATGCTTGCACATTCCATCAAGCAAAGTATTCAGAGTAATCACATTTGGCACAACCCCGCACTTTTTCATCTGGTCAAAAAGCTCGTATGACCTCTCAATCTCGCCTGCTTTGCAGAAACCATCTATCAAGCAATTATAGGTAACAGTATTAGGTTCATATCCACTCTCCAGCCTCATCTTTTCCATCAACTTAAACCCTTCTTCTTGCCTCCCTACCTTACAAAGCCCATCAATCAATGTATTGTAGAGAACAAGGTCTGGCTTAACAAGAACGCCATCACTTTCACTGCCTCCCATCTTCTCAAACACCTGCATTGCCTCATCGACCTTGTAACTTTTGCATAAATGATTGATGAGAATCCCAAATGTCACAACATCTGGTTTAATTTCCTTTTCCTTCATCTCATTCATAAGCAAATTCATCTTTTCAAAATCACGCTCCCTACCTAACCCACTCAAAAGGGCATTAAATGAAACAGCTTCCGCCTGACCACCCAACCTCATCATATCATGCAAAAGGTCCCAAGCCTTATTACTCTTCCCGCTTCGACAAAAGTTGGTAATCAATTTAGTAAGCCACACATCATCCAAGAACACACCATTTTCGAAGAATCTCACAACAAGTCCACAAATTTCCTCCACACTCATCCTCCTCCCAACCCAATTCCTCTTCCAAATAGCAGATAAAACAATATCCATCGTACTCTCATTCGGCGGGAAACTACTCTCCCTTTCGAGCATTTCGTCGAGCACCTTGAACCCATCATCAGTATTCCCTCCACGAAACAAGCAATCTAACAGCAAATTAACCACATTTGTGTTTCTTGATTCAGGGTCTAGTGCATTGAACACGACTATCGATTCCTCAAGCATTTTGGCACGGCCAAAGCATCTTATAAGAAGAGTCGCAGCATTGATGGATAAAGGGATTTCTCTATCTTTAGCAAAGGAAAAAAGATGGTAAAGCTTACTGGGTAAGTCAGTATTTCTTCACGCATTGCTTGTTCGAGGATAGCTTGAAATGTGAAGGAAAGAGAAGAAGGGCTTGATGATGAACTAGAGTTATGACTTTTGAAGAATTCAAAGAACTGTAAAGCTTTTTCAGTGGATCCCAATTGACGGGTGATTTTGAGAAGGGAAGTTGGGAAAGGAGGGGTGTGAAGGAATTCAACAAGCTGGGGGTTAGAATTCCAGTCATTGTGATCGGTAGTTTTGAGGAGGGACACTATTTCGGAAATTGGCTGCGGCGGCGGAAGCGGTTTATGTGAATCGTCGAGCTCGCCGGAGAAGTGTCTCAGTCCGGCAATACTGCCGGTTTTAGGCCGTGTAGGAAGATCAAGGAGGGATTTTGTTGTAGCTGCGAGTTTCATTGTTCTGGGAGTTTCAGAAGCAGCGGTACTTGCCAGTTGAAAGTGAAACCTCGTACTGGGATAGTGGGATTGGCTGTTTAGGTTTCACACAATTTTGCGCGGGTCTCTCCTCTAGCAAATTATAAAATAAATTACTATTACTAACTAAAAATTATACACTTCTGAGTTCTGAATTTATTTTGGAGTTTTATAGTTTTTTATACATATTTTCAATTTCTATTACTTTCAGTTTTTGAACTAATTTTTTATTACTAAAAGGTGTCAGATTACAAATCAGAAATATCTAATCTATTATTGTGAGCACGTGATTTTTGCTACGCTTAAATTACTCCTATAAAATTCATTAGAATTAGGATTCTTTTTTTATTATTTGAATTTTAGGAATTAATTGCATGATTTTGTGTTTTGTTTGCATTTTGTTTGTGCATTTTTTATTAATAAAATTCAAAAATACAAAGTAGCATTTAGATTCCAATTTTAGCATTTTAATTAGTGAGTCAATATTACAAAATAGAAGAAAATAACAAAAAATAGTCATTTTACATTTTTGTTTAATTTTTCTTCTTTAATTGGGATTTAGTTAGTTTTAGGAAAATTAGTTAGTTTAATTGCAGCTTAATTCAAGTCTTTGTCATTTTTTTTAACAGAATAAAAATCAAAGAAAGGAATTGAATTGAAAAGGTTTGAATTAAATAAAAGAAAAGGAGTTAATTGGGAAGAAATTAAACAGGGGCATCAGGCCACCCATTTTTGGGCCAAAATTGAGCCCAAATCTTCCAAATCCATTTGCATTTTGCCCAGCCCAGATCTGTGAATTACCCGGTCCAGTCCCCAGGCTAATAAACGACGCCGTTTTGGCGTCAAGAAATCTAGACCATCCATCTCCCCAATCTAACGGCCCAGGTTCAGTCTTGAATTTTAAAGAAAAGTGTAATAACTCTTTTAGAAAAATAAAGACAAACAACCATCTTCCTCGTACCTCTTTTCCCTTCGCCGGCTCCGCCCGATTCCGCCGCTGGAAATCGCCCACGGCGGCGGTCAAGCTCCAAGTTCGCCCAAATTCACACCCCTACACCGTCTTAATCTCCTCAATACAAATCTATGATTAATTCTTCCCAAATCCCAACCAAACGCCTCAAAAATGTGAAACCCAAGGCGCTGCCACTACCGTGCACGGCGGCGCCGCCGCCTACATCGTACCAAATTTGTACTCCACAACCCCCAGGCCACTCTAAGCCCCATTCTCATGTTTATTGCACAAAAATCCCAATCGAATTCCTTCACTTTCACATCTAGGGTTCGAATTTTCTGGGCCAAGGCCAAATTCATTCGCACAAGAATCCTTTGCGTATTACTCATCCACACAGGAGCATTTGAGTCTAATAGTGAGTTTCCCCCTATTCTTCTCTTGTTTTTGTTTCTTTCTTCTTCTGCTCTTCTCCTTGTGCTTCCTGTGACTTGATCTTGCTTTGGCAATAGTTGATAATTAGTTTAATCGTTGTTTGAATGCATTTGATATAGATTTTAATTCAGTAAGCTTTTTCCTTTATTTCTGTTTTGATTCTAAGTTTTGGGTTCCGTATGTGTTTCATTCTATTCCAATAATTGTTTTGTATCATTTTATTCAATCCGGGGTTGGTAGTTTTAGATTTTAGTTTAATTTTTGTTTCAAATCTATTTTTTTATCAGTCTTGATATTTTTTTTTAATTGATCCTATTTGGGGCACTGTTCGATTTTGGTTTGTCTGATTAGTAATTCAGTGTTGATATTATTAGTTAGTTTAATTAGTTTAGTTTAGTTCATTTCAATTTAATCAATAATTGTCCTTTAGTCAGTAGAATCCTTAGGTTTAGTTTAGATTAGTTTGGATATAGCTATTAGGTTAACCTTGACTAACCAACCTTGGTTAGTTTGAATTAGGGTTAGCTAGTCTTTAAGGTTAGCTTGGTTGATCTGGGTAATTTCAGTTGATAAAAGGGTAATTTGGACACTTCAAAGAGAAAGAATCTTGTGGTAACTGAATAGAAAATAGGGCCTTAGCTATAATTTCAGGAACTCAATGCAGTAACTTGGGCAACAAGCCAAAAATTTAGGGATTAATGTATAAAAACTGAAATAAAAAAGGGGGGAAATGAGTGAATGAATTCTAGAAACTTCCTCTCCCTTTCCTGCCTATAAAAGGAAGTCCCCATGCCTTCTTTCACAAGTTTTGGAATCTGAAAAATTCCCAAAAATTTCTAGAAGTTTGAGATTTGAAAATTTTCCCCAAAAGTGTTCTACAAGTTTCAATCTGAAATTTGAATTTAAAATTCCAAAACCAAATCTGAAATAGAGAATTCAAAAATTTTCCATCTTTGATCTTAGTTTCTTCAAAAAAAAAAAAAGAAAGTAAAACACAACAGGAAAAAATTCAAAAATGTATGGTTACATTGAGATTTTTAGATTGATTGCAAGTTTGGCTTGTTAATCCGAGTTCCTAGTGTTCCTGGATTCAATTTCAAGTCGTCTTGGGTTTATTCAAGCTATTTTGGGGGTGTTTCTAGCTGCTGAAGTTTCAGAGGCTTTTCCTGGGTTTAATTTCGAGTTGGTTTGGGTTTACTCAAGTCTGTTTGGTTGATTGTTGGTGCTGTGCTTCCATAATTCAATTCTGGATTGATTTGATACTGTTTGCTGGGCTGTGAACTTGAATTTAAGCTGTTGTTTATCATTTGCTGCTGCTGACTCCTATTGCTTCTTATTGTGATCTAATTCCCAGGTACATGTCCTGAAATTCACTACCATGTATATCTCCAGCTGAAACTGAAATGAAGTTGAAGCATGATTCTGTTGTAGATTTCGTTTGTTTCAATGCTTTATCGTAGTTTATTGTAATTAACTTGGACTGCTTGGGACTGTTTGAAACTTTTAAACTTGATATTTTTCATCTAGTAGTAGCTTTAGTATAGATAGCTTAATGTCCTGTTTTAGTAGAAAACGTCAGTTGTAGTGCAATTAATTCAGATCTAGTTATCATCTCCATTAGAAGTTAAAATTGAATTCAAAACAGATGCACGTTTGTATTAGTACAAGAGCAGGCGTATTTTGTAATTTTTAACACGCTAGTTAATCTAGTTGTTTCATTTGCAGATCTAATTCACGCATACAAATCCTTAGGATGTAGTGATTGAAATTGATGTGGCTTTTAAGGTTATGGATTTAGCATGTTTGGTTAATCATGTATAAATCAGTTGAATATGTGTAGGATAATTGGATTCAAAGGTTGGCATGTTAGTTTGAATTTAGAACTGATTGTTTGTTTACCAATAATTAAGGCAGTTGTGAGTAAAATCAGTGGCCAAAATTCAAATAAAAATCAGTAAGAGATTTGGGCTCATCTAAGACCCCAAACGTGACCGCTTCTGCTCAAACCAGACTTGGGCCTGACTCTGCTTAAGGCCCAGCGCCAGACAGCCCTCCCCCTCTCTTAAAGTTAAACAATTTTTTCCTTTGGGCTGCTTTTGAAGCCCAATCTGCTGAAGATCTTAGTTTGTTTACTGAAACTTTTGATTTAATATTGTGATGTAATACTTTCAAGGATGGTTTATTAATAATGCTTATTAATTGGGGCCTTTTCTTTTATTTTAAAAGACAATGCATAATAGAAAATCGTAGTTTGCTTTAGGTTGGCCTTTAAATAATAAAACGAGGTGAGCCCCGCCAAATAAAACGCATAAATTGCGGGGCCCTCTTTAAGTGATCCTATCAAAATACCTAAAATTCGGGACGTGCCGTTTAGCGAATTTCACGGCCTCCCGCAAAGATAATAAACACGTTAGTTGCTTTAGGTCCGTTACTTAAATAATTTTACTTTCCTAAACACGGGTGCACATTTATGTGACCCAAATCCAAATCCCAACGAAGTTGAAATGTGTCAAAAATCGCGGGTGCATTTATGTGACTATGGTTTTGAGGGTCGCGATTTTTCCACGACGTTTGCAATTCTCTTTAAAAAATATNGGTTTTGTTTGTTTAGGATTAATAATTAGGTTTTTACTCTTCTGCTCTTAATTGTGTCATTTTGGGGTCTTATTAGTCGACAATTCGAATTAATTCATCTAAGTTTGTTATTAGTTTAAGTATAGATTATTGTCAATTTTTGATTATTGGTTTTAACTCAGTTGATACTCCTTATGTTTTTCTGATTTGGGCTAGTACAATTGCTGGTTTGATTTTTATTCTATTGTTAATCCTGTCAGTTTAATTTTGTTCATGTTTAAATGTGTTCTCATGATCTTCTTTTAGTTTAATCATTGTTTCAATTCAGTGTTAACTAGTTCATTAGATTGGGTTTCTTTCAATGTTGTTGATTTAATATGATTAGAATTATTTTCAGTCTGGACTAAGTATGTTTGATTGTTAGGATTTCCATTAGTGTTAGTTGATTGGGTATAGCTGAATTAGAGTTACTTGGGTTAACTATAGTTGCATTTTAATAAAAGAGGCTGGGGTTTTAGTTAGGCTAGTTCAGTAGTTTCAGATTGAATGAAGGGTAGTTTAGGTATTCCCATGTAGAGAAATGTTGTAGATAAAGCTAGAATTCCCTAGAACCTTCTAGAATAGGGCCTTAGTTTAAACTTCAGCAATTTTAGTGTAGTAACTTGAGTAACAAGTCAGAAATAGAGGACTAAGGTGAAAAATTAAAATCTGAAAAACCCCTCAACTTTTGCCTATAAAAGGCAGTAGATACTGCCTTGTTTCGCAAGTTTTCAGCCTCTAAACCCCCCCCCCCCAAAAAAAAGTTTCTACAAGTTTCCAGATCTGAAATTTGAATTTGAAAACTCCAAAAACCAAATCTGAAGTTCAGAGATCTTAGTTTCTTCACAAAAAACCAAAAAAAAATAAATAAATAGAAAACTCCATAGAATTACTGTTCTATTGATATTCCTTAGATCTTAATTTTCCTCAAAAAAAAAAAAAAACTCAGAAAGCTTTCCTGGCTTAGTTTCGAGTGTATTGTGGTTCAGCTGAGCCTATTTGGGTATTTGCTGTTGCTGTTGTTCTACAATTCATTCCGGGCTGTGTTTGAGTGCATTTCTG